CGACCAGGGATTGAACCCGCACCCACTGCACTGGAAGCGTGGAGTCTTAACCACTGGACCACAAGGGAAGTCCCAGCCCCGTGTTTAATTTTTGAGACTTGATATTATGTCTTATTATTTTCCATCCCTTCTCTTCTTTATCAGTTTTCCAAGCTATTCTCTGTTGAGTTTTTCCATTCAAACTTCAGAAGCAATGCACCTCGTTCAGAACACAAAATCACCTACTGGTATTTGTTTTTTACTGGCATGATGTTCAATTCGTAGTTGAGTTTAGAGATTATTGCCATCCATATGATATCGGTTCTACGTATCCGAGAACATTTCCATTTGTTCAAGTCTCCTTTTTTGCCCTTTAATGGTCTTTTAAAGTTTTCTCCACATAATTCTTGCCCTTGTCTGGTTGTTTCTTTCTGTTTTTTTTTTTTTTTGGCTGCTTTGGGTCTTCATTGCTGAGCATGGGCTTTCTCTAGTTGCGGCAAGAGGGGGCTACTCTTTGTTGCGGTGCACGGGCTTCTCACTGTCTTCTCGTTACGGAGCATGGGCTCTAGGCGTGTGGGCTTCAGTAGTTGTGGTGTGCAGACTCAGTAGTTGTGGTGCACGGGCTTAGTTGCTCCGCAGCATGTGGGATCTTCCTGGACCAGGGATCGAACCCGTGTCCCCTGCATTGGCAGGCGGATTCTTAACCACTGCGCCACCAGGGAAGTCCCCATTCTTTTATATATATATATTCTTTTCCATTATGGTTTATCACAGGACATTGAATATAGTGCCCTGTGCTATATACAGCAGGACCTTACTGTTTATCCATTCTGTATACAATACTTTGCATCTGTGAAGTGTTTTTGTTTTTGATTGTTGCATAAGAAATTACTGCACTCAGTAGCTTAAAATGATACGGATTTATTATCTCATTGTTTCTGTGGGTCACGTCTGGGCACTGGCTAATCGGGTCCTCTGCTCAGGGTTTGATCAGGTGGAAATCAAGGTGTCAATTGGGCTACCAATGAACCCATCTGAGGCTTGCAGTCCTCTGCGAAACTCCCTGGTTGTTGGCGGGATTCATTTTCTTATGATTGTAGGACCGAGGTCCTCAGCTCCTGGAGGCCACCCACTGTTTCCTGCCATGTGATCCTCTCCATAACAGTTTGCTTGTTTGAGACCAACCTGAGGGAATTCCCTGATGGTCCAGTGGTTAGAACTCTGCACTTTCACTGCTGAGGGCCAGGTTTGATCCCTGGAACTAAGATCCTGCAAGCTGTGGCATGGCATAAAAAAAAAGAAAAGACACAACCCAAGAGTGTTTCTGATGCTTCCAATCTCTCTGACGCCTTCTGTCTCCGGCAATAGACTCTCTTTTAAAGGGCTCTCCTGATTGGGTCAGGCCCACCCAGGACGATTTCTCTTGATTAACTTAACCGGTTAGGGGCTTTATTACATCTGCAAAATCCCTTCAGCTTTGTCATATCATGTAACCTGACCGAGGGGAGTGACAGCCCATCACATTCACAGGTCTCTAGGCATGCGGGCTTCAGTAGCTCAAGGGCAGGAGGGAGGGCATTAAATAGACAATGCTATCAGGGGGATGGAAATCTTGGGGACCACCTTAGAATTTTGCCTACCACACTCGGTGTGCTGTCTTTTGCACAACTGTAGAGCTGCCAATATTTTGATATTGGGGCATTTCATAAAAATTCCAGTAACTGGCTTCTTTCAGAAAATTGGCAGATCTGGCTACCTGGGGTCCACACTTGCGTGGCACTACAGTTGGCTGGCGTTAGGGCAGAGCTGCGGCAGACCCCACCCCGCTCACATCTCTTCCCTCACCCTTTTTTTAAAAAAATTTTTTGGCCACACCACGCGGCCTGCGGGATCTTAGTTCCCCGACCAGGGATCGAACCCGCGTCCCCTGCAGTGGAAGTGCGGAAGCTTAACCACCGGACCGCCAGGGAAGTCCCTTCCTCACACTCTTGGGCTGAGAGCACATACAGGCCGAGGCATCTGAGTTTGAAACTCAGCTGTGTGCGTTCCTGAGCAGTTTCCTTCTGTGTAGATGGGGACAGTGGCCATGGTTGGGGGTCACTGAGAGGATTAGATCAAACAAGCCACCTCACTCCTCATCCTCCCCAGGTGCTGAAGACATGGCTGACCCTGTGCCAGACTGGCCAGTACAAGGGGCTGCTGGACTGCGCCAGGCATATCGTGGAGCAGGAGGGCACCCGCGTCCTTTACCGCGGCTACCTGATGCTTGGCATCATTCCCTACACCTGCACCGACCTGGCTGTCTACGAGGTGTGGGTCCCGCAGAGGGGGGTGTCAGGGGCGGCGTGAACCCAGGCCTGTAGAGAGCTTCCTCCTGGCCTTTTCTTCTTCTTTTTTTTTTTTTTGGCCACGTGGCATGTGGGACCTTAGTTCCCCGACCAGGGATCGAACCCGTGCCGCTGCAGTGGAAGTATGGGGTCCTAACCACTGGCCCACCAGGGAAGTCCCTCTCCTGTCCTTTTTCTCTTGTAGATGCTCAGGTGCCTCTGGCTGAAATCAGGCAGGGACATGGAGGACCCCAGTGGCCTGGTCAGTCTGTCGTCCGTGACACTGTCCACAACCTGTGGCCAGATGGCCAGTTACCCACTGACTTCGGTGCGCACCAGGATGCAAGCCCAAGGTCAGCCTGGCCCTAGAGGCGACCTCGCATCCCCCTCCCCACCTTGCCTCTGCTCTCTGAACTTTCTCATCCCCGCCCCAAACTGACTCCTAAACTCTCCATATCTGATCCTGACCACCTCTGCTGACCCCTGAATCCACCAAAACTTACACTCACCCCCAAATCTGATCTCAGCCCTTCAATTAACCCTGCACATCACTAAAACGAACATCCAGGGCTTCCCTGGTGGCGCAGTGGTTGGGAGTCCGCCTGCCGATGCAGGGGACACGTGTTCGTGCCCCGGTCTGGGAGGATCCCACATGCCGCGGAGTGGCTGGGCCCGTGAGCCATGGCCGCTGAGCCTGCGCGTCCGGAGCCTGTGCTCTGCGGCGGGAGAGGCCACAGCAGTGAGAGGCCCGCGTACCGCAAAAACAAAAACAAAAACAAAAACAAACATCCAGCTCCCAAATGACTCCCACAAACCTCCTTGAATGTGACTCAGGCCCCCATACTGACCTCAAGACATATACTCCCCAAATGACCTCCCAACTTCTCCACATCGGACCCAGCCCTCAATTGACTCCAGAAGTCAAACCGTTTCTAAATTTGCCAAATCTGACTCTGAGACATCCCCAAACTCATAACCACCTGCTGCAGTATCCTGGGAACTCCCCAGATGTGACCACCCCCCAAAGGGACTCTCAAACCCCTAAACAAATCCTCAAACATTCAAACAGGTCCTTAGCCCAGCACCCTGATCTTGAAAATGTCCCCAAACTATCCCTTAGCACAATCCCCAAATCTCTAGCAGATCTTAGAAATTGGAATGTTTTCTAAGATGTTCCCTACAACAATCTGAAAATTCCTGCCCCTCACTCTCCCCAAACTGACTAATTTCCTCTAAAAGTCTTCCAAACTTCTTTCCAACTGACACCCAGACCCCTTGCTCCTGGCTTCACTGACCCCCCCAACTTTCCAGCCCGCGCCCCCCTCCAGAATGCCCAGTCATCTCTGGCCCAGGCTCTGAGCTTGCCTCTGTCCCCGCAGACACCGTGGAGGGTTCGAACCTCACCATGTGTGGAGTCTTCCGGCAGATCCTGGCCCAGCAGGGCTGCCCGGGGCTGTACCGAGGTATGACCCCCCACGTTACTGAAGGTGTTACCAGCAGGTGGCATCAGCTACGTGGTGTACGAAGCCATGAAGAAGACCCTGGGCGTTTAAGCAGTGAACTAGGCATACCCTGGGCAGAAATGGACAGGAGGATCCAGTGTCCCCTGGCCCCAAAGAACCCTCCAGGCTTGGGACCCCGGGTGGTTTTTGTCAGAAGCAGGCTGGGGGCCTGGGTCAGAAGATTCCTGGAGGGACTTGCCTGGTGGCTCAGAGTTTAAGAATCCACCTGCCAGTGCAGGGGACATGGGTTCAATCCCTGGTCCAGGAAGATCCCACATGCCATGGAGCAACTAAGCCCATGTGCCACAACTACTGAGCCTGTGCTCTAGAACCCGCGAGCCACAACTACTGAGCCCGTGTGCCACCTACTGAAGCTCGCGTGCCTAGAGCCCGTGCTCTGCAACAAGAGAAGCCACCGCAATGAGAAGCCCGTGCACCACAACGAAGAGCAGCCCCCGCTCACTGCAACTAGAGAAAGCCTGTGTGCAGCAACAAAGACCCAACGCAGCCAAAGATAATAATAAATTAAATAAATAACTTTAAAAAAAAAAAAAGATTCCTGGAGCCTCCTCTCCAGGGTGCAGCCTGGGACTAGTTTGGACTCCAGTCTGACTCGCTGTGACTTGTCCTTGTTCCAGGGCAAAAGGGTGAATGTGGAGACAACCAGGAATAAAGTGATGATTTCTGCTGGACGTGTCTGGGATACCTGGGTCCAGGAGGGCAACTGGGGATCTGTTATACCTGGGTCCAAGAGAGGAGCTGGTTATCTGGAATCTCTGGGTCTAGGACAGAACTAGGACTCCCTGGGTCCAGCAAGAAAGCTAGGGACCTGGAATCCTTGGTTCCAGGAAGTGAGCTAGGGACCTGGAATCCTGGGTCTAGGATAAGAGCTGGGGACCCGGTATACCTGGGTCCAGTGAGTAAGCTGGGAACCTGGAATACCCTGGGTCTAAGAAGGAGCTGGGTATCTATCTGGATCCCTGGGTCCTGGAGCGGGGATGGGTACCTTGGGCCCCTCAGTCCTGAATGGGAATTGGAAGCCTGGAAGAAGCCTAGGTCTAGGAGAGAAAATGAGGGCCTAGGATCAGAGCTTGGAGCTCGGATTCAAAGACCTTATGTGAAGCGGATGTGGGGTGTGGAATTAGAGTCTGGGATCCCTCGGTCCTGGGAGGAAACCAAAGGCCCTAGGCCCTTGAGTTCGGGAGGAGAGCTGGTTCCGTGAGTGCTGGAAGAGAAGTGGGGGCTCTAGATCCCTGGGTGGAGAGAGGAGAGGGGGTACAGTGGATCCCTCGATTTCCTCTTGCTTTGGGGCCACCCCACCCCCGGAAGCACCCGTCTCCAAGGCCTCAAGCAGGCCACGTGCATGGCCTACCCAGCCAGGTTCCTGGGGCGCTAACCCAGACGTCAGGCCTGAATTCCGGCAGCCGGTCGCCAATGCCCACGTCGGCTGCCATTCACTCCGGCTACGGCTAATCCCCTCCCGCCGTCTGGTGGCCGGCTCCGCCCCAATGCAGCTGCGCTTCCACTGGCTCCCACCAAAACGAAGCACCTTTATTTCCTTCATTGCCATTTGTCCGGAGAGGTGTCAGTCACTTTGCGCCCGCCCCCGCCACTCAACCATTGGCTTAGAAGACAGGACTAGAAAAGGATTCTGGTTAAGACCGAAAGTAATTCAGTCCAAACGCAAGCGCGTCACACAGATCTCGTCAGAGACTGGATACGTTGATTGCCAATCTCTATAAAAACCTCCTTCCATGTGTACTCATTGGCTTGCGTAGACGACTATCTCGCCGGACGCCCGCCCAGCCGTTCAAAGAAGCCTTTCGCCAGATCCCTCCTTCCTGTCCACTTGACTCTTCCGAGCCATCAATCCGGTTCTGAAGCCGCCCACCGATTCTGGAACTCCCGCTTCATTGGGCCTCGGGTCTTCTCGGATCTCCTAGATTTGCCCTCCCAGCGCCGGCAGCCCGCAGCCCACTGCCTCGGAAAGCTGTCGATCTCGCGGCACCTCCCGCCCACTGCCCCTCGCGGCACTCCGATTGGCCGCTCGCCTCCAGAGCCCGTGATTGGTGTCCCGGGAACAGCAGCCGCCTTCCATTGGCCCGGCGGCGCCGTCCGTCAAGCCGGCGTCGGGAGGGGGCGTCCCTCTCCCCCCTCGTCGTCTTTCCAGCCGCTGGGTTCCCAGAGTGCTCCGCGGCCGTGTGGAGCGAGGCCTTGTTCCCGCGTTGAGCCGCTGCTGCCGCCGCCGCCTCCTCAGCTTCAGCCTCCGCGCCAGGCCCGGCCCCGCCGCGCCATGTCGGACTACAGCACGGGAGGACCCCCGCCCGGGCCGCCGCCACCCGCCGGCGGGGGCGGGGGCTCCGGAGGAGCCGGGGGTGCCGGGGGAGGCCCGCCGCCGGGCCCGCCGGGCGCGGGGGACCGGGGCGGCGGCGGTCCAGGCGGCGGCGGCCCGGGCGGAGGGTCAGCCGGGGGCCCCTCGCAGCCGCCTGGCGGGGGTGGCCCGGGAATCCGCAAGGACGCCTTCGCAGACGCAGTGCAGCGGGCCCGCCAGGTGAGGAGGCCTTGGGCCTGAGGGGCGCGCGCGCGGGCGGGGGAGGGGGCGGGGTCACGTGCGCGCGCGGGGTCGCGGGGGGGCGGGGCCGCCGCGGGGTCACGTGGGGCGGTGGGCGGGGGCCTGGGCCTCCCCAGACACCTGGAGTGGGGCCCCCTCCGGGGGTGACCCCCTGCAGGGGGAAGGGTCGTCCGGGGTTCACCCAAGAGCGGCCCCTGGGTGTGCAGGGTACCTGGAGCGCGGGGACTCACTTTGGGGACTTCCCTCCCCCGTTAGGACATCCTCCACTCCTGGAAGCAGGGGGCTCGCCTTCCCAGGGAGGTCTTGTGTGCCCCCACTTCCCCATCAGGGTAAAAAGCACTGTTTGCCCCCAACCCGGTCCCATTTCTGCTTGCTCCCTAGGAAGGAGGGACTTCGGGGTAGGGGGGAAGAAAAGTCCTCTTGAGCCTGGAAAGTGGAAAGGGGACCCTTTGGCTGCCAGGCAGTGGCCAAGCACTTAGTTGAAATGGGGAGGGTGGGCCTAGGGACTGGCACTTTTTGATGCTTCTGGTGACTTGAAAGCATGGTCTGTCTCTTTTGGGGAGAGAAGGGAAGGGTCCCACCACTGTGTTTTGGGGCATGATGACTCCATGGAGGTGTCACATGCTGGTGTGTGACCTCCCCGGCTCCATTCTCGGCCTCCCCATGGCCTGAGGGGAGGAGGCCCATAGAAAGTGAGGAGTTTGTTGCCCTTTCAAAAGGAAGCTGACCGGGCTCAGGCCATTGAGTGCTTTCTCACTCAGGATTGTCCCCAAACCTCCAGGACACAGTGGGAGGTCCCGTTAGGGGAATGCCCTCTTCTCCTCCCAGCGTTGTCTGTGGCTTTCACCCCTGGGGTGGGTTAGGGTTCTAAGCTGCATTTGATCTGGTTGAGAAGCAACTATAACAAGGGGAGTTGGTGCTGTCATTTGGAGTGGGATAAGGCCTCATCTAGGCATCCCAAGAGCTTTGGCTCAAAGTGATTTTTTTTTGTTTTTTGTTTTTTGTTTTCATTAAAGTATTAGAGGTGAAAAGATAGGTCCTCAGCTCATGGCTGTGTTTCTTTGGAAAACTTGTGATAATTCTATCAGCCGACTCTGGTCTTAAATTTGTTGGGTTGGAGTTTACTTGATGTTGCTGTTCGTGTGTCTAAAATGTAACATGTGTTCCGAGAAAGGTCTTCTGTTTTGGTCAAAATGAGGGTTTCAGGTGCCTTGAAACAAAAACTTTCCTAAGATTTGTTGAACAAATGCAAAGATTATGAGGGTGAGGGAGATAAAGGAAAATTGTGCTCTTCAGCATCCCAGAGGACCAGGAGCTTGGGCAAGTGAATGTCTGAAAGTTCTCCCTGGAGGAGGGGCCCTGAGGACCTTCCCTGGCACCTGAACTTCTGTTCCTTTCACCCTTAGAACAAGTCAGTGTGGATTACACTCTGACCACGAACAGTTTAGGCACAAATCTCATAGAGAAAAAGGAGTTTTGAAATTCCTGAATAACTCTTGAACTCTGAAGCCTTGGGTAAAAACTTTTTCTAGAAGGTCTTAACCCACAGGCTCTTACCGAAATCTGGGGGAAGCCACTCCCAGGCCAGACAGCAAGACCTGTTGGGTTTAATGAACCAGAGAAGTCGATCTAAGCACCATGGAGGGAGGTTTTGGGTGGTAATTTTTCTCTGCTTACAACTTTATTTCTAGATCGCAGCCAAAATTGGAGGTGATGCCGCTACAACAGTGAATAACAGCACTCCTGATTTTGGTTTTGGAGGCCAAAAGAGACAGTTAGAAGATGGAGGTAACTACCTACTGGAGGGGCAGCGGGGAGAGAGTGAGGTGCCTTTGTTTGAATGTGGTTCAAAGTGGGGGGAGCCTGCTGCCATTTTGGTCTTTTAAAACCTCAGCGATCCCAGCTTTGTTGTCTCTTTTTGTTCGCGCTGCTATCCTGAGGTATCAGGTGGCTGAGTGGAGGGCAGATTGATTGTGACCAGGTCCAAGCTGTGAGTTCTCAAGACTGTTCCTCCCCTCCTGCCAAGCTAGGGAAGTGTTGGCAGTTCTCTCGAGGCCCCACATCAGTGCAGTGTGGTTGGCCCCGGGGCATGCAGTGTGACCCAGAGCAGCCCAGAGTATCAAGTCAGTGATCAGCCTGACTTCCCCAAGGCAGGTTTGGTCCTAAGCCGGAAGGACTCGGGTGCCACCATAATTTTCCCCGTTACAAAGGGCTTCTTATCCCTGAGTGCCAGGGCGGGGGATTGATGAAGTCTGGCCTCCCTCAGGGGTTCATCTCTGCTACTCCCCTGTCCTGGCTCTGCCGTGGGGGCTGGGGGACAGGACGATTGTCTGCCAGGACATGCGGCACCAGCATCAGATTTGAGGCAGCTGTGGGTGGGTGGGTGGGTGCTGCATCTGACATCCTCTTCTTTTCACAGACCAACCGGAGAGCAAGAAACTGGCTTCCCAGGGAGACTGTAAGTCCACTGGGTGACACAGGCAGAGGGCAGCTTCAGGATTTTAGGTTTCTAGCATTGGGGAGCTGGAATTACTGAGCAGACAACACCTCTCCTTCATGGAGGCTCTTGGTGTTTCTCTGGGGTCCACGAGCTTTAGAGAACCCAGAGCCTGGGAATTGAGGCAGAAACCTCAGAGTGTGTGGTTTTGAGGCGGGCTCCATTGCTTTCACTCGGGAAGGCTCGGAAGCACTGTGATAAGTGCTAGTTGCCCCTCGTGCAGGCAGGAATGCCTGGGGCCGGCAGTGTTTGGGGTCCCAAAGAGGAGCCAGGCCAATCTTTCCTTTGGATTTTCTCTCTGCAGCCATCAGTTCTCAGCTCGGACCCATCCATCCTCCCCCCAGGTAAGTTGTGATTTGGAGAACATGTCATTTCTTTCCTCGCTATCTCTGGCCTTTTGTACTGACTTGAGGGAGGGCTCTGTCTGAGGCCACATCATTTAGGGCTTTGTCTCCCTTGCTGGTCAACCAGGGAAAAGAATGAAAAGCAGAAGGAGCTTCATTTGTCCCTTGTACTTACTGTCTGTGGGGCTGTAGAGAGCACAGGGCTGTGGCTGTTAGCTGTAATGAGGAAGGGGGATCTCTGCATCCTCTTGCTTCCTTTGTTTGGAGTGGGGACAGTCAGAAGCACAGCTCTCCCTCCTCCTAGAAAAGGCTGGGGACTGACCTTGGCCTTCTCGTCTGTCTTCCGTAGATTCTTGTTCCCTGAGAGCTGGAGGAGCCGGGGGGTTGGGGTGGGAGGAAGGTCTTTCTTACCTTTTTGCCCCAGAATGACCTCAGTGAATCTGACGTAGAATCCTTTGTGAAGGACCCTGTTGTTCTTTTTTTTTTTTCAATTGGCTAAAGTTTTGTGAAATGCATTAAAAACAGCTTACTAGGAGAATGAAATGAAAAAGATACAAAACCAGTTTTTTTTGTTTTTTTTTTTAATTCAAATCTATAGACATCAGATGACACCATCAGATTTCTTGTGAAAGTGGCCCAAGTTCTCCTCCTTGCCCTGAGTCGGTGGAGCTGCACTGGCCCAGGGGTTCACGCCACCCCAGACCAAGCCTCTTGTGGCCCAGAAGGGGAACTGAGGCCCCGAGAGGTTGGGTGATCTTCTGTGGGCCGAGGGAGCCCCCAAGCCATTGTCAGACTCTGCTCGGGCCTGTGGGGGCTTGGTCCCCATGTCATATAAGGCAGGGCCTGTGGCTTTGGGGGTCTTTCTCCAGGATGCCCTCTGGCTCTTCCATCCCCCCTACTTCGCTCCTACTTGAGGCTGACTCTCGTCATCTCTCTTTGCAGGACTTCAATGACAGAAGAGTACAGAGTCCCAGATGGCATGGTGGGACTAAGTGAGTGTTGGTCAGCCGTGATCAGGGATGCCCGTTATCCCCCCGTCTCTGGGACAGTCTCCCAGGCGCCCCCGGCAGCCCGGGAACCTCTGGTCTGAAAGAGCCCATTTCATGCTCTCTCTGTCCCCATCCTCTCTGGCGGGGGGGACGGCGGAGCTCTCAAGTTGGCTGCTCCACCCCCCCACCCTCACCCCCCGAACATCAGCGGGGCCGGGACCCCCTTCACACAGTCTTCTCAGCACCAGGCTCCCCGCCTCAATCTCTGCTTTTGTTCTTTTTCTCCACCTAGTCATTGGCAGAGGAGGCGAACAGATTAACAAAATCCAGCAGGATTCGGGCTGCAAAGTGCAGATCTCTCCAGGTATGGGAAGCCAGATCTGGGCCAGGACAGGCGCTGGGCTGGGGTGAGCTGAGCTGAGCGGGGCTGGGGTGTGGGCGGGGGAGGGGGCGTGCTCTTGGGCTTTCTGTCATAATCCTCTGACTGCCGTGATTGGATAGAGGTGAAACGGTCTGGTGTTCATTGAGCACGTTTTATGTGCTAGGCTCTGGCGCCTCGAGGTGTAGCTGCAACTCTTATTCTCTTCAGTTTTCTGGTGAGTGGGGAGGGCTGGAATGCAGTGCAGGGAGCTGCACCCCAGACCCTGCTCTGACCATGTTGCCACCTGAGCTAAACACCTGGTGGAAAACAGGCGGGAATGTGTGAGGCAGGGGAGCTCGTTAGGAAGAAGAGCTGAGGTCAGGCCTGGGTTCAAGTCCAGTTCTGCCTGCTCCTTGGCAAGTGCCTGCTTTGCAGGGCTTTCTGAGGGCTCGCCCTGCCTAACCCGTGCCCTTCATTGACTGGAAGCTGCTCGTCATCAGTGGTGATGGACAGGGCCCAGGTTTGGGACTTTCTGGAATCTGCCTTGCTTTCCATCTCATCTTTTTTCTAAAAGTTTTGCCTCCCTTACTGGATTGTAAGCTTCCTGACCTTGGCCTCGTGTAGAGCAGCCTCCCAAGTGTTTGGGGAGGTAAATTGATCTGTCAGGCCACCGCACGGTGGCAGAAGTAGCCACTGATTGTTCTGGAGGTATCCTCATCTCCATGGAAAGTCTTTTTGGTGTCTGCAGACCCAAGAAGGCATTGACCCTGTCTTCTTTTCTCTCCAGACAGCGGTGGCCTACCCGAGCGCAGCGTGTCCTTGACAGGAGCCCCGGAGTCTGTGCAGTAAGTCCCTGGCTGGGCCTGTCACTGACGAGGAGAGTGGCAGAAGCCCTCTGGATCCCTTTGAAGTTGAGGGTGACTCCCACACCATGTCTCTCAAGCCTTGCCCTCTCCAGGGGGCTGTCCTGACACTATGATTCCCATGAATCCTGAGATCTGGGGAACCTGGGCCTGAATAGCCCCACCCCTGAGGACAGGACCATTTGTCATCTGTCAGACCATGTGGGTTGGAATCGCCTTCCCTGGGACCTGGGTGGAGCTGCCAGGCCAGTCCTCTCTCAGGTGATGACACCCATTCTTCCCCTTCCCAGGAAAGCAAAGATGATGCTGGATGACATCGTCTCACGGGGTCGTGGGGGCCCCCCAGGACAGTTCCACGACAACGCCAACGGGGGCCAGAACGGCACAGTGCAGGAGATCATGATCCCCGCGGGGAAGGCCGGCCTGGTTATCGGCAAAGGTGGAGAGACGATTAAGCAGCTGCAGGTAAGGGAGTGGGCCGCTCCCCTCCCAAGAAAGCTTCCTCCCTGGGGCTGTGCGTCTGCACACCACTGCCCCCAGCCGCTTTGCCAGGGTCCTTCATCCTTTTTTATCACACCTGGCCCCCCACACGCCCCAGAAAGTCCTTTGAGAGCTCAGCACTGACTCTCAACCTTGGCTGTAAAGGAACGGGCTGGAGTGAAGATGATTTTAATCCAAGATGGATCCCAGAACACAAACGTGGACAAACCGCTCCGGATCATTGGAGACCCTTACAAAGTACAGGTGAGCGCACCCTGGGGGCTGGCGAGGGGTTCTGGGGCAGAGAGAGGGCAGGCAGGTGGGCTGGAGATTCATATGCAAGTGGAGAGGTTTTCAAGAGCGCTGGCTTTGAAGTCAGCCCAGGACTTGTTCTCTGCTGAACTCTGCCTCCTGGCCGTTTGTACGTGAGCAGGTGGCCTAAACTCCAGAAGATGGGGGTGCTCACCACATGTGCCTCTTAGGGCGGCGGATGAAGAGCTCGGCACACGTGGGCTGGTCCTTAGCTTAGGCCCGTGACCCCTGGGCACGCGGTGGGGCGGCCGTGCTTATGTGAGCGCTGTGCTTCGTGTGTTTTCAGCAAGCCTGTGAGATGGTGATGGACATCCTTCGGGAGCGTGACCAGGGTGGCTTCGGGGACCGGAATGAGTATGGATCCCGGATCGGCGGGGGCATCGATGTGAGTGCAGGCTTCCCCAGGTGGATGGAGTGCCAGGGTGGGCAGGGGGGGGGGGGTGTTGGGCAGCAGAGGGCCGTAGGCTGGGGACAGAGCCCAGCTGACTCTCCTGCGTCCCACCCACCCTCAGGTGCCAGTGCCCAGGCATTCTGTGGGGGTGGTCATCGGCCGGAGTGGAGAGATGATCAAGAAGATCCAGAATGATGCGGGTGTTCGGATACAGTTTAAACAAGGTCAGGGGCCAGCCGGGCATCCGCTGGGCATGTGGACATGTTGACCAGGTCTGTCCGCTGAGGAGCACTCTTGGGGTCCACTGCGGGCAGCTTGGCACCAGGGTTAGCCTGTTGAGCCTCTGCAGTGCCTCATTACTCCTAGACCAGCAGGACATGGCTTATCGCCTCCCCCCCGGTGGGACAGCCACGTGAAAAAGTGGGTGACAGGCAGGCTTTCCAAGTCGAAGGGGGGAGTGTGTTTTTCTCTCCTGTCAAATTCTCTTTTTTCTCTCCCCCACCCAAGGGCTCTCCTGACCAAGCCACTGGGGCCCCTGGGCTGGATTAGCTTGCACGGCCCCAGCTCTGGGCTCCTGCCAACCGCAGTGAGAGTGTCTGAGTGGCTGGTCTGTGGGGAGGAGGGACTCCTCTGCGATTTTGAGAGATATGTTGTCAGTTCTTAGTTCTGTCAAGTGCATCCGTTAGTTCTGGGGGATACCCGATGCAGAAAGAAGCCTCATCCACCACCCTGCCTTAGCTGGTTGGTTTCCTTCTCTGGCAACGTGGGCCCGCCGGCCTTTCTCGGCCCCTGAATACATGGAGGGCGGCGAGCAGCACTTTGAGGCTGAGATATTTCAGACACCTAGCCTGGCCCAGCTTCTGGCCTGAAGAGGCGGTGTTACGGGGGTTTGGAGTTGTGCTTCTCTTATAATTGCGTTTCTGTTCTCTGGGTGCTGCCTCAGATGATGGGACGGGTCCTGAGAAGATAGCTCACATAATGGGGCCCCCAGACCGGTGTGAGCACGCCGCAAGGATCATCAATGATCTCCTCCAGAGCCTCAGGGTGGGTGGCGTCGGCTGTGCTGAGAAGGGCTGGTGGGGACAGAGGGGCCAGGCTGGATTCCTGTGTTAATCCTCCATCTCCTCCCTGCCCTGCAGAGTGGTCCCCCGGGCCCTCCAGGGGGTCCTGGCATGCCCCCAGGGGGCCGAGGTCGAGGAAGAGGCCAAGGCAACTGGGGCCCTCCCGGTGGGGAGATGACCTTCTCCATTCCCACTCACAAGTGTGGGCTGGTCATCGGCCGAGGTGAGGAGCCCTTCCACGGGCCCCGTCCCTCCCCCGCTCTCCTCCCACCCTCCCTTCACGGCCTGTGGCTCCCGCAGGTGGCGAGAACGTGAAAGCCATAAACCAGCAGACGGGCGCCTTTGTAGAGATCTCCCGGCAGCTGCCACCCAACGGGGACCCCAACTTCAAATTGTTCATCATCCGGGGCTCGCCCCAGCAGATCGACCACGCCAAGCAGCTCATCGAGGAGAAGATCGAGGTGGGCTGGGGAGGGGCTCTGGGAGTCTGGGCCCGGCTCCTTCTCCCCCTCCACTGACTTGTCCGATTCTCTTTCCTCCAGGGTCCCCTCTGCCCAGTGGGACCAGGCCCCGGGGGCCCAGGCCCTGCCGGCCCCATGGGACCCTTCAACCCCGGGCCCTTCAATCAGGGGCCACCCGGGGCTCCCCCTCAGTGAGTATCCCTGCCGGCTCCCTGGGGTTTGGGGTGGGGTAGGGCTGTGCTGGCAGGGAGACTGGAAGACCCTGTGTCCGTCCCCTCCGCTGAGATGGCCAGCTCCGCCTCGTGGAAGTGCTGAGCGTTTGGCCCCAGACACGATCCCTGCTGGCCCCCTGTTTACAGACACATTCTTAAAAGATGCTACAGGTGTTGCCCCTGGTCTCCACCCACGTGTACATCCATGCATGGTGCGCTCGGGGACTTGCACTTCCTTGAGTCAGCACAGCCTGTGGCGTTTGCATCGGTCATCTCATGCCCTTCCCTGGGCCAGGAACCCGCAGCGCCACTCAAGGGGTGCTCTGGGTCCCCGTCCAAGCTGTGGCCATCCTCTGTGGGGACCCAGGAGCAACCTGGCTCATGTGTTCCCCATTCTCGTCTTGCAGTGCTGGAGGCCCCCCTCCTCACCAGTACCCACCCCAGGGCTGGGGCAATACCTACCCTCAGTGGCAGCCGCCTGCTCCTCACGACCCGAGTAAGTGGAAGGACCCGACCCGGGCAGGCGGAGAGGGGGCCGGCTTTCTGGGCCACCGCTCAGCCCACATGTCCTCCTCCCGCAGATAAAGCCGCAGCTGCCGCCGCAGACCCCAACGCCGCCTGGGCCGCCTACTACTCACACTACTACCAGCAGCCCCCAGGCCCCGTGCCAGGCCCCGCACCGGCCCCCGCGGCCCCGCCCACCCAGGGCGAGCCCCCCCAGCCTCCACCTGCCGGCCAGTCGGACTACACTAAGGCCTGGGAGGAGTACTACAAGAAGATCGGTGAGTGCCCGGGCCACGGCGGGGGATCGGGTCAGCCAGCAAGCAGTGGGCGGGTGGGTGGCCGTGTCCCCAGGCTGGGCTCTGACCTCGGAGCCTGTGTCCACAGGCCAGCAGCCCCAGCAGCCCGGCGCGCCCCCGCAGCAGGACTACACGAAGGCCTGGGAGGAGTACTACAAGAAGCAGGGTGAGCCGGCGGGGCCGCGGGGGGCAGGACCGGGCTCGCCCTCGTGCCGGCCACACTCACCCGCCCTCTGCCCCCCCACAGCTCAAGTGGCCACGGGAGGGGGTCCAGGAGCACCCCCAGGCTCCCAGCCAGACTACAGTGCCGCCTGGGCCGAATATTACAGACAGCAAGCCGCTTACTACGGACAGACTCCAGGTCCTGGCGGCCCCCAGCCTCCACCCACACAGCAGGGACAGCAGCAGGCAAGTGGGAATTGCCACCCTCCTCCTCCTCCTTTCTCCTTCCAACCCCCGGCTACCGTCCATCCTGCCTTAGTGGGTAGCGCCGGAAATCCCTTCCCCTGCGGGGTGTGTCCTTGATGCCTGCAGCGGGGGCCGCGTGGCCAGAGGTCTCCGGGAGTCCCCACGCGCCGGGGGAAGTGTGTGCTGGGTCCAGAGGTTAAACGAAGAGGCCTCCCTCCGCCGGCCCGCTTGTTCCTGTGTAACGCTGTCATGATGCTGGGGGAGACGGCGCGAAACAAATAAAAGGAGGAACTGTTGAACTGGTGGGTAGTCCTGGGGGTGGGGGGCAGGCCGTCCGCTCAGATGCTGGTCGCCATCCTGGCTGCTAACTCACTCACTCAAAATCTGGCCACTTGGGAAGAAAATGGATATTTTTTCCCCGCTCTGCATTACTTTCATGGTTTTTGTTCTTTTGATTCTTTTATTTTTGAAACCACGATCTCTCCCCGCGTGTCCAAGTGACTGTGTGTACTGCAAGCGGCCCCGTGCGGCTCGGCCGTGGCCTGGCCGTGGCTCCTCCCGTGGCTCCTCCCGTGGGCTGTGGGGAGGTGCCGAGGGGCCTGGGCCCTCCCGCTCCGCCCAGGCTCGGCCTCTCTGCTCCCGTGCCTGCCTTGTGTCCTGGTCTTGTCTGTGAAGTGGGCATGACGATCGCTGCCACCTTCCAACCTACCTCACAGGGGTGTTGTGGGGACACCGTGATCTCTGACTGTCATGTTGTGATGCGCCGGGCCGCCAGCCCTCCTTCCTGAAGACAGGGCCCCTCCCCCCTCCCCTCCCCTCCCCTCCCCTCCCCTCCCCTCCCTCGCTCCCAGCCCTGAGCGCTTCTTTCCCGCCCTCCCTCTCTGTCTTTCTCTCTCTGTCTTTCTCTCTCTCTCTCTCTCTCTCTCTCTCTCTCT